TGTTTTTTTATAGAGAAAGTCTTGTAATACTCTCAATGTCATGCCCCCCTTTGTGCCACCATCATCAGGCACTAGCATCACTTCAGGTGAGGCTTGAGACGTCACTGAACATCACTGATTCATCTTCCTCCACACAGCTTTTCATAGGTGGTGTTAAGGATTTTCTTTCTTTTTTTGTTGGACAGTTGGAGGCTTAACAACTTATTGGTTCAGCTGGAAATTGTGAAAAACACATCTACATGCAGTGAGGTGTGGACATGTGACATTTGAAAGAAACTACACAGCTCACCACTTTACAGATTACACTACCCACACAGGGATTGTGGAAAATGCCTAAGCAAAAAGGTGAATAGTGACAAAGTATTGCAGGAGTCCTGCTCAGACCAGCTTTCAGGTAAACACCTTTCCTGGTTATAGAATTCTTTCAAGTGCAAGAGACAGTTTTTGATGGCTGGGTGCCAGGGTGCAGGCAGGCTATCATCGCTAACAGAAACAAAATGAGGTTTCTGGCACAACTTCACCCACTTCCACAGTGCATGGAGAAAGGAAAAAAGCCAGAAGAGGTGAAAACTCCAGCAACACTTGTAGTAGACAGAGGAACCTTATTAGTTGCCTTCATCAGGGGCATTCTGATGGAACGTGGATGACCCTGATGAAGGCCACAAGCTGAAATGCGTCAGTCTAATAACATTGCTAACAGCACTGCCAGGAGCATGAAGCACCAAAGGGGCCACAGTTGCTTCATTTTCACTACTTTGCCGTCTTGACGTGGGTATATATATGTCTCACCTGATATGAGCAACATGACCTTACCCAGGTGATTCCTGTATCTCTCCCTCGTCTCGTGTCTTTAATAAGACGGACTAAGATCCGAGAAGAGGATGCTAGTGAGTGAAATGTTGACACAATTAAGGGAAGTGAACTGGAACATGCAGGAATTTGCAGGATATTGTGGGTTGTGATGGATCATAGTGAACAGATGTTCAATGTGTTGTTCTCTGCATAGTCATTGAATATGTGCTCATTCCTGACTGTGGAGACTAAACAAATAGAAAATTCTGGTCATTTTGCACTTGTGTACTTGCGCGGAGAAACATGATCAGGAGCTGAAGTCAAACATGGAGTGGCTTAAAGGTCCATATAGCATAAAGATAGATGTCCATGTGCTGTTTGATTATAAAGCAGGTCTAGGTTCTATATTAATACTGTGAAAGTATCAAAGCCTCAGTCCACAGAGAAATGCACACAGCCTGTATTCAGAAAACCAGTCAGTGTTCACCTGAAACCTGCTATATTTTTATTGGATCACTCAGAAAACAGTCAGCCAATCAGAAAAGAAGCTCAGAGCCTCCTCTCTTCTGATTGGCTCACAGACCTGTTGTTACTAGAGCTCCAGAGAGAAGCCTGAGAGAGGAGATGTAAAATTTCACTGAGATGAATTTTGATTCTTATGGATCAACACTTCAAATAAATCTCACAGGAAAAGTGTAAAACATGGGAACTTTAAAAGAACTCAGCTGCTTTAACAAAGCAAAATTTAAATGAAACTAACAGACTTTAGATAGACATGTAAGTTTATAGCTTGCCTATATTAGGTTGTACTACTTTTCATTGTATTCTGGGTATTTTCAGACTTACTACCTTTTAGATTCTGTAAGATTTATTTAATTTAGTGGGCAAGAGACTACAGCAGTCTTTAAAGAGCAGTGTTGGTGAATCAATGATGTAGAAATTAGATTCTCCAATAGAGTTATCTGCTCGCCTCAACAACTTGGAGAGCAGCCAAGCGAGGTCAGGTTTAATAATAGGAAATGTGGACCCCAACAGTAGTTTTGACAGTTCACAGGTCAAAACTTTATATTCATATGGATATGACAGACCGCAGCCTTACAATTATGAGCCTGCTAAGTGTCCAGGAGAGCAGGAGCTGACAGGGATCAGGAAAAATAACAGCCATCAGTGAGAAGTCCAGCTGTGGTGTGAAGAGAAGCAGTAGAGAGCTAACAATAACTAACACTGCACATCACTTCACTGTAAAGTTGTTATTACATCAGGATATAACAGGACTAGTATTGGTCGTCTAACACTGGCAGGAGTATTGATACTAGAAATGAATGAGAAAGAATCAGTTGTATCTCACCTGACATTTATCCACGCTGTTTCTCTGTGCCACAGGGGTGAGAGAGGGAGAGGGGTCAGTGGTGAGGCAGACTGAGAGAGAGGGGAGAAACACAGTAGTATGTTTAGGGCAGAAATAATCAATCATTGTTTTGGGTTTTTTCTTTACAATTAGTATAAAAGCCTAGTTGACAAACTGTGCTGACTGTTCCGCAGAGGTCATTGCTTCTGAGTCATATACTTGGTCTTTTATATGTAAAGTTGACTTTACCAGTTTGAACTTAAAGTAGTTCCGAAGTAGAAGCAGAAGAAATATTTATATGTAGATAATGGAGACAATATTAAAACTGATTAATTTTCCATTACTCCAGTTGCCCATATTACATCACCACTACCTACGTTATTGCGGCCCTGTCCTGAGGCAATACAGCTACACATCTTACAGGCAGGTTTTCTGGCATGATCTTGTGTGGCATTCTGGGTAGGCACATTAGGAGGCCCTTAGCCTCATGTGAGGTGTCTTCTAGAGGAAGGAGGAGTTTACAAAGGCCTTATTTATTCCAAAGGTTTTGGAAAGTGCAGCTCGTCCTCCTGTATGTCAAGTCGTCCTCTGAAAAGCTGAACTGCTGTTTACTCACTTTGTTCTTTCTGCCCTGAAGCTTGACATTAAGGTGATTTAGGAGTTATATCTGTGAGAAATGCAACAGCAACATTTTCTCTTCCTTTGGTAGGAAATACACAAATATAGTGTTTTTTGCAATTTTTTTGCTCAGACAGGAAGGTTTGAAGCTCAAACCCTGCCTTTACTGAGCCAATTGACATTGTTGTGGAGAAGCAAATCATCAAGTTGGCCTCTAAACTAAACACATAATGTGATACTGCAGTCGAGATGAAACCATGATGTCATGATTTCTGAGTACATTTCACTCACACTAGCACAGAGGACTTTTTGGGGGATGATGCAGACTAGATTGGTGGGATTGCACCACTCCCATCTGTCTCGCTATTATAGATCATGCTCTATCAGTAACAATGGAGACGACATGCTACAGATCAATTCCTCTGTCAGAAGGCATTTGCATGGTGGCTTCATACAGATCCTCCCCTCTTGTACCAAAACATACAATCAGTTGTGCACTGTCTTTGTTGTCAGTTGATTCCTCTACATCTACAAAGTTGCTGGATCAAATCTTCAGTAAGAATCTCTGTTTGTCTTGCTGCTATCTTACTTATCTTTCATTTCATCAAGACCTCCATCAAGTTACTCAAACACTCTTTCATTACTTTAGTGTAATGGCTCGTTGTGTGTGTTCCTCTCCATGAAGCTTGTTGCAGAGTCAATGATTTTACAGTTATTCTGCTGTAGGTTTGATGTAATGACCTGAGCAGGTTCGGCTCTTATCTCTGTGATCTGAGGATAGTTTTGTTCACACTCGGTATGTTTGGCATTTTCCATCACCACTTGTCACTATGGCCACTGATTGGTCACAGTGGTCTTTTTCTCTTTTTTTTTTGTTTTGAACATGCCATTTTTCTTTTTAAACTGTAGCTCCTACATCAAAAACCTCACTAACTGTGGGTGAGTGAATGATGACAGGTGAGATGAGATGACGTGATAGCGATTTGTCACTCCAAATCAGTCTGGGTCAGGTAGCAGAGAGACTGTATTTGGGTCCAGATCCAGACCGCAGTCGGCCTGTTGAGTATGTATGCACCAGAGATGGCTATTTATGAAAATACCAGGAAGTCAGCAGTTTGTGAGAGACTCAAACCACCTGTTTGGCACCAACAATCATTCCATGGTCAGAGTCACTTAAATCACATTTCTTCCTCTTTCTGATGTTTGGGCTGAACAGCGACTGAACCTCTTCACCATGTCTGCATGTTTTTATGATTTCAGTTGCTGTCACTTGATTTGAATTAACAAGCAGTTGTACAAGTGGCCACTGAGAGTATAGTCTGCTTCACCAAGCTCATAAAACTTTTGTTAAAGGCCATGTTACCAGTGTACTGTAAACAGCTGTAGTTGAGGTTGTGGATCCTAAATCCACTCATATACAGGGAGACACATTCCTGCAGAGCCCCTCCACTAATAAGGGTCTGTTGTAACATGTAAGCATTAGAATACACTGTCTGTGTCCTGTTTAACAAAAAGTTTAATGTAGGGTACAAGCACAGATCAGTTCGTCTTTGAGACTGTCCTCCTGTAAAGAAATGAGCCCATAGGTTGTCTGTGCAGCAGGTTATTATAAGTTTTGTTGCTAGGCAACATCTAGTGGTTGTAGTAAGCAAAGGGAAAAGTGCGGTGACGCAGTATAAAGAGACAAAGTCCACGTCAGGAGGAAGTTGTGGTGAATGGATGAATATGACACAGGAGAATGTGAAACTAGCTGTTTATGTTGTTTCTATTATCCATGATTGTTTGTTGTAATTATTGTAACCATGACAACAAAGACAGTTTAATGTTGTGGAAGTACTTATTTTAACCCAAATCAGGATCGTTTCCTCAGCCTAACCAAGCCATGTTATTATTGTAATGGTGACACCAAGGTCAGGTACGCCTGCCGCTGTAGGGGCGCTATTTCAGGAGACCTTCCTTGGGGTGGTGTCAGACGGTTGAAAGAGTTGCAGGACTGGTTGTCATTTTTTTATTTGCCATGGTGTTCATGCTTTATATTATAATTGAATATGACAAGAGCACATGAAAGAGGTTGTGTTAGAAATCATTGATCAAACCTGGAAGATAAGAATTCATACAAGCTTATCTTTATATCATATTCTGCAAAACTGTGTGCAGCACTGTCTCCACACACATTTGGGGTTTTCTGACTGATGTCTAAGGACCTGTTGTCATCTGCTTCCAACCTTGTGTTTTGTTTCAGACTACCAGCTGAGGACACAGTAATGATGCTGGACAGACTGGACACCGTCAGAAACCATAAATGTTCACGGATAAACAACTGCATCAATCGTCAGTTCCTCCAGGAAATCTCTCAGTCTCAAGAATCAACACAAAGAAATTCAGTGAATCCCTGTAGAAGAGCTTGGACGTAAATTTGCTAATTTGACAAATTTTCAGCAAAACAACAGTCAAATCCAAAGTATGCATCAAAGCTTTTATCTTTCACCTTCTCTGTATGAATAATCCAATGCAGAGCTGCTGTTTCAAACCAAAGCACTGTTCTGAATCAGGTCAAATAAAGGTCAAATAACATCACCCCTCCACATGAGCAAACCGACTTCCTTGGAAATAAAGTACATGAATGCCTGGAGGACCTAGTTTCCCCAAACTGGTTTCTCAGGCAGAGCTGTGTTAACCCCTGAGGCTCCACCAGTGTAAATCCCAGCTGTCATCACCAACCCTTTTTCTACCCGACAAAAGAAATTGATTCCACATATATGAACATATGTGGCAGAAAAAGCTAATTTACCTCATTTACTTCAGCTACTGTTGGAGCTTATAGACATGTATTGTACATGGTCTTTTTTTGTTTTTCTGCAATAAAAGCGTGGTGCCATATCACCATCTAAGACACTTTCCATCTAAAGCTAGTGAGACAAAGAGTGAAATATATCCTGACTTTAGTTTTGTTACATCTCCTTCCATCAGCAGTGATTTCATCTGCGCCACAGTCAGGATCACTTAAATCAAGGCTGAGGCAAGTTGGAATGGTTTGAAAATTCAGTCAAGACTGATTCCAAATGAGGTCTGCATCAAGACTGAGACCCATTCTTCATCCTGTCGCTCATTGTGTGAGTCAGCAGTCACATATCTTCTAGCAGTCAATGCAGAGCAGTGGAGGTGAGAATAATGAAGTGACTGACAGCAGAGCAGCTTCTCCAGTCTGAGAAGAGCTAGCCAAAAGAACTGGGCATGGTCGAGACAAAAGACTAACAGTCAAGACGGCCGGCTGAAGACGAGACAAGACCGTGACCGGACTCCAGCCCTACAGCTCTGGATGCCTCTGTAGAGTATGACTTGATTTCTTTTTTCCACACTTTGCCACTCAGCATTACAATCCTCTTTAACCCATGGATAACCAAAACTTCAAACTCTTACCTAGAGTCATTTAGCAGTAAAACTCAGTAAAGTCTGAGTGTTTCTCGAACGTTTTCACATCAATGACCTAAACTGACACAGACCACGGACCCTCATCTGATAAAATGTTGCTTTTAGATGTTTGATTACAGAAAGTGTTTGAAACCCATGATCAAAATAGTCATATTCTGTCATTGTGTTACTTATGGATGGAAATATAGTGAAAATAAATTATTCCTCTTTTTGCTGGGGACCCCCAGGAACGCCCCCACAGACCCCTGGGGTTCCCTGGACCCCACTTTGAGAATCACTAGTTCTGTTTAAGAGAAGAAAATGTTCTCCAAACAGCCATACTGTCTTATTGACTGTGGTATGTTGTTAGCAAGCAAGCTAGTTCCCAGCACATACAAGAGTCAGCTGATTTTCTTCTTGAATGTGGACTGTACAAACCTGCCAGCCTCACAGAACAATGTCTTTGACCCAAATGTTACTGAAGACACAGCTCTAATGTAAACTGCTCCTGAAAACAACAGTGTGTATGTGAAACACAGATTTGATGCTGGAGGTGATGAGTGGTTTTTTCTGTTTGTGCTGATCTAGTCGAGCAGTTTCCCCCTTAGGCTTAACACGTGAGGCTCAACACGCCTCACTGTTTCTGTACTGAAATACACATCTAAAGTCATGCTCGGTTTAAATGCAAAGAGGATTGCAGACACAGTTACATATGAGTGGGACAGGGAGTTAAGCTTTTTCCAGCTGTGAATGAATGTGTGGAGGACAAAATGATTGTAGATCCTTGGATCCCTCTGTATGCCCCTCTCCTCCAAGATCATGGATTGAAATGAAAACAAAGTGCTGCTTAAAGAATATGTTAATGAGCAAACTCCTCTCCCTAATGACAAAGCTCCAGAGCAGTGACAGAGCACCTGTGACTGTGGTGAGGAACAGATTGACCTTTCTGTCTCATATTTCATTTGTGTGTTTTTTCTTACACTGACCTCTTGTCTGACCAATCAATGTTTGTTTCCAGGAAACAAGCTGAATGTATAATGAAGATGTAATTTATTTTTAAAAGTCTAGATATCCAACTTAAAACTTCTTGATTTTTGTTGTTGTGTGTCAGGTGCTTGATAGATTTGTTTCTGTATTGTGAACTTGCTGTGACTCAGTTGTCACAGCCTCAACCAAACTAAGTGCTGACTGGATGCAGAGACACTTTGACAGCTCGACTTGTTGCAGAGTAGTCTCTGTCTCTGCTAAGCTAATGCTAGAGGCAAGTCTGAGCTTCCTAAATAAATGTAAATGTTAAATAGCACACTGTATGTAGAGTAAGAACATTTTCACAGCAATATCTCTCTAAAACTGACAACTGGGTTTAATGAGGTGTGCAAACAATGCCAAAACCTAATATTTGTATTGTCTGAAGGAAATATTTGTTCTTCCATGATGAAAAAATACAAGGCTCCAATTTGAAGTGCCAGTCCACCTTCCCTGTTGTCAAACAGTGTTTTAATTTACATTTGTGCCATCACACAGTGTTATTTATCATCCCAGTGTGACAGATTGGAGCTGAGATGAGATGAGACTGAGAGTGTTCACTCTGCTCACATGACAATAAACTGCACAGCTCCAGTGTATGAATTATTTTTTGTAGACTTTAGATTTTTTTCCAGAATTTAAAAGAAAAAAAATATATTTAAGTGTTGATTTAATATCTCTATAGATCACATTAGTGATATTACGTCCATCAGTGGTTGAAATGTAATGTGCTAATATTCAGCTGATCATACACAATATTTGTATCGGATGATTATCTGCAAAATCAAAAATCAATAAAGTAGTTTTATGGATTAAAAAGTGAGTTTGTAGTTTTGTGTGTGTTTTTCTCTGTTTTGACTCAAGTAAGCAAAGCTTCATGAGTAAGCTCAGTGATGCTTCCTTTAACACTCAGGCCAGTGGAGTGTGTGTGGATATGAATCCTGAAGCAGAAACTAACAACAACCTGGAAACCCACTGATTTGACTGTGAGAAAAAGTCCTGTACTCTCACTTTAATTGTTTTTGTCACATGTCTGTTAACTGCAGTCCATTTCCTGCACGTGTGACGAGCTGTACAGCATTTATTCACTTTGTTCTGCACCAATCCTCATTTACTAGAGTACTGTACTTTAGTAAAGTACAGATACTGGAAAATATACTTAAGTTTTTTTTTTTTTTTTTTTAGAAACTTCTGATTTTAACCCCACTACATATTTTTCACTACATTTCTATGAAGTACTCTTACTTTGAAGCAGTGCTTTTAGTCAGTGGAATGAATTATCTTTTATTTTGAAAAAGTGATAGACACTGTGTTCATCACAGGAGAAAAAGCAATCACAGCCAACTCCCCCACTGTCAGTGATGTTTGAACCTGTCAGCGTCCTAATGATGGCGACGCTAGATAAAGATGAGGCAGAAGATTCTTCTCCAGAGACGAATCTACGTCTGATCTGAAGATTCTGAAACATTCATCTAGTTTTAAGTGATTGCTGTGTTTACCACAATCAAACTTCATCACCGACTAAAGTATCTGAAATCTGAAAACAACAATGGCTCCTTAAGTTGATTCACATGCGTTATTAAGACCATTTCTATCTGCTTTGTATCATATTCTACTCTTTCTTATTCTCCAGGGTTTACAGTCAGCAGGTTGTTTCAGAGCCATTAGGTTCTGTAAATGTGGAACAATACAACAATGTGCTGACATAAGAAATGTTCTTTTTGTACTTCTACTACAGTATTTTTTAAATCAAGTACTCCAGTACTTTAACTCAAGGAAAAATCTAACTGAGTTCACTTGTAGTCATATTTGACCAGGAGGATCTGTACTGTAACTCCAGTAAAGGAGTCAAGTATGGTAAGACCAACACCATGAATCTGTGTGTGTGTGTGTGTGTGTGTGTGTGTGTGTGAGGTCACGTCCTGGGCCACCAGTAGAAAGCATTGTGAAGCCAGAGCGGGAATGTCACACAGGAAGTATTTTGTGTAAAAGTCAGTTCTAAAAGTAGACAGTATTGTGTTATCGTTGTGTTGCAGTGTTCCTCGAGTACAGCTCTGCAATTAAGCGTGACAGTGTTTCCCACATTGAATGGCGCTGTGTTGAGTTCAGCCTCACACATTGAGACACAATGCCTTTCAGATACAATGATAGTCCCACAGGACTGTCTATTAGTACTCTAACAATGATTCCACCTGCTCCTGTGTTGTGTTTGATATCATAAACTGAATGCAGCATTGTTATTGCATCACCTCATATGTTGTTTGTATGATCACATCAAATGAAACCCTGCCCTGCCTACAGGCATCACAGTACATTAAATACATTTCCAGTCCGACATATTATTTCCATCCTGCTGTGGTCATGTGCACTGAAGGCTTTCAAATAAAGTTTTCAAATCAGCTGCAGCAGTTTTTAGGATCAGTGTTCTACATCTGAGCAGCTGGAAAACAGTGTACTTATGTGTATGAGCTCAGTTTTATATTCATTGACAAACCAACTGAAGTTGTTGCCTCTCTTCACTCCCTTTGGGAGGACAATGATTGTTATCTAAACTCAATCTTAAGATTCTTTTAGTAAGACTTGTTTCTATAAGTTCAAGAATGAATTTTCACATTCAATGTTAAAATGGTTAAGCCTTTGATTTTAAAATGAATAATTGTGTAGTCCAGGTTTTACAGTTTTTTTCTTTTCTTGTAAAAATAAGAAATCTGTTAAAGTAACATACAGAAATGACAGGTGACAGCAAAGAAAGGAGAACAGATTTCAAAGTTTGACAGTGACAACGTGATTGGCTGGTTGAGACCGGGGCAAAATTACAGAAAACACCTGTGAGCTGATTAGAAGACATAGGGTGAGAGAGTGAGAAAGAATTGTGAATGAATGAGGCATAAAGACAATCTTCCTGATTGAACTCACACTGAGCTTCGTTTGTTATCATGACAAAACAACTTATGTTGAGGTAGCAGGATTAAAAACATATCTAACAGTAATGGCACCATTACAGTTAGTTTCATGTTCAGTCCTATTTCAACATGGAACACTGTTTTGCACTGGTCTTTATTAAATACCCAGCTCATTTTATTGAAATGCATCACTGTGTTGACATGTTGTGATTATTGTTGTGTTATCTGCGATGTCACTGTTTACCCAGCCACGTGAAGCCATTACTCACTTGCTGTGTGTTCACTTAATGAGTGAGTCCAAACAACCAGGAACTCGTTAGTCAGTCAGCTCTGATATGCAGCTGCAGGTGTTTGTTTCCAAACGGGCTTCATAGGTTTATACTGAATTTAAAATATTTCATATTCAAAATACTTTAGAAGAAACACCAGTCAACCTTTTGACCAAAAATGAACATCACCCTGATGGACACATTTCCTACAGGACTGCAGCTTTTTAAGACAATGACCCCCGTCTGAACTTTTCATGCCAAATCAAGTATATGAAATGTTTGATCATGCGTCCGATCTAAAGATGTCAACGACAGGCTGAGAGGCCAGAATCAGGAAATGAAAATATTTTCGTCATCATTTTATGATACAATATATTTTACAGCTGGATATGGAAATCATGTCTGATTGAAAGTGATAGACAAAGTTTTACACAATGTGTAGTGAATACTACACACACAGGACATACACATGTGTTGACTGAACATGTTGAACACATGAGTTTTTCCTCAGTCCAGTTGCAGCACTGCCCAGCAGCTCCTCATGTCATAGGCCATCCCAGACTCTGGGAAACCCATTGAAGCCCATGGCAGATGCTATGATGAACAGATGTCCCTTAAACGCCTCACATTCAGACTATCGCTAGACACAACAATTTTACAGATGTCACCCAAACAACCCACATGCAAAGGCAATGGGTAGATGTTAGCTGCAGCCCCTGTCATCAGGGGTTTTGGGGCAGCAGTAGTGCACTGTGTCTTTATGTGAGGTTTAAAGTGCTTTATAGGTGTCCTTGCAAAATGTGTCAATATGAGAGGCCATCATAGGCCTCTTTTCCCTCCCTGGTTTGCCTCTCCTGACGGTGCATGTCTGTGCATGCCTGTGTCTGTCAGTGTGTGATGTGTGTGTGTTCATGATGTCCCAACACAGTTAGTTTAACGCACTGTGTGTTAATGGTGTCCGTCTCCCAAAAAGACAAGCCATTCCAAGG